TCAGGTGTCCCCATAAGTGTATCCTCGCCCTTCCCCCTTGTACTCACAGATCTTCTTATGAATGCAGCTTCTCCTTCTTTCCCTCCTTTGGTCATGTGATAAGTCACATGACAAGGAGAGAGAGGAAGGACTCTCTACCTTCACTCCTTAGTGCCGGCTGTCTATTGCCCCCTGCAGGTAGGAGGGAGGAGAAAGTCAAGTCCCTGTGACAGGAGTGAAACTGCCATCACTCTGGTCACTGAGGAGCGGCACCAGCAGTGCGCCCCCCCTCAACACAGTGCTCAGGTCAGGTTGGTGCTGCTGGTAGCACCCGCCCCCCACCCTCTGATGCAGCGCCTGGGACACACTCGCCCACATGTTATTTTCACTAGCCAAATGCAAGCAGGCGAATAGAAATTTCAAGCCCTACCTTACATCATCAAGTGCAATGCAAACCGTCACATGCAGTGGTGTAAAGCATGCCACCACTGGACTCTAGAGCAGTGGAGACGTTCTCTGGAGTGATGTATCACACTTCTCTGTCTGGAAATCTGATGGACATGTCTGGGTTTGGCATCAGTATACCAAGACATTTTGGACAATTTCATGCTCCCAACTTTGTGGGAACAGTTTGGGGATGGCCCCTCCTGTTCCAACATGACTGCACACCAGTGTACAAAGCAAGGTCCATAAAGACATGGATGAGCGAGTTTGGGGTGGAGGAACTTGACTGGCCTGCACAGAGTCCTGACCTCAACCTGATAGAACACCTTGGGATGAATTAGAGTGGAGACCGTGAACCAGGCCTTCTCATCCGACATCAGTGCCTGACCTCATAAATGCGCTTCTGAAAGAATGGTCAAACATTCCCATAGACACACTCCTAAACCTTGTGGACAGCCTTCCCAGAAGAGTTGAAGCTGTTATAGCTGCAAAGGGTGGACCAACTCAACACTGAACCCTACGGTCCCTAACTTACATTAATACATACACATACTAGAGCCAATTTAGACAGGGGCCAATTAATCTACCTCATGAAGCCTGTCTGGAAAACTCCAAGGACATTGCTCAGTGAGGCCTAGCTATTACTGTTCACCTCCACCATCACAGGAGTGAGCTCTCACATGCTGATCTCAGAGCTACTGGATCAGGGGAGAGGAAGTGTACATGAGGGAGTCTGAATCAGGAAAAGCTCCCTCCTGTGGTGGTGAACAGTAACACTAGATATAACATCATCCTGGGAGTTTTCCAGTCAGGCTTCATGAAGTACATACATGGCACACACCTATAGCCAGGACATTAGGCCCCTTTCACACGGTCTGAACTCCTCTTGTTCAGCAGGGTCTCTGTCCTCTGATCCCCGCTGAGCAGGTGGATGACAGGTCCATGCCCATTTTACTTTTGCAGAGCACAGACACAGCCCACTCTCCTCTATAGGCGGTCAGATGGAAACAGGCCACCTGTCCGTTTGCACCCGACTGCCATCTGATCTGATCCACCCAGTTAGAGGGGAGCAGATCCCCATCCGGATTGATTTGGATGTAGATGGGTGTAACCAGGCATGTGTCTGTTTACACCCACCACCCCATAGAGGAGAATAGAGGGTCCAATCGGGTCCGCCTGAAAAAAAAATGTGTAAAAGGGACCTTCTTCAACTTTAGTCAAAGATGCCAGTTTGTTTTTATCTGCAGACACCCATTATCTGCACAGGCAGTGTTTTGGTAAAGGTGAAATATGCCTTTAACCACTTGGGGACCGCAGACCCACAATCTACTACAGACAGGCAACCCACACAGGCAAAACAATGTACCTGCTTCTGGGTTTGGGGTCACGCCCCCCACCCCCTCCAAAACTAAAGCCTGTCAGCAAGTCCCGGCCAATGATTCACAGCCAGGACCTGCTGATTGGTGTATACAATCATAGCCCAGAGCTCTGTGTTGACAATCAACACAGAACTCTGTATAGAGGGAACAATCTTTGTGCAAAGCAGGGATGAGAAACTAAGAAATCATTAGTAAAAAGCAGCAAACTTTACACATAGTAAACATTGTTAGGCACACATTTAACCCCTTGATCACCCTAGATGTCAACCCAGTGTTATTAGTACAGTGACAGTGTATAGTATTATCACTGATCATCACTGTATTGATGTCAGTGGCAGCTAGTTACCCCCCAGAGTCAGTTAGTATCGGATTTCCCGCCGCATCTCATAAGTCGCTGATCACCGCAATTCCAGTAATATACCATAGTTTGTAGGCACTATAACTTTCACGCAAACAATCAATATTCCCTTATTGGGATTTATTTTTTTTATCAAAGACATGTAGCAGAATACATTTCAGCCAAAATGTATGTAGAAATGTGTTTTTTTTAAATCTTTTTATTTAATGTTTTTTAGCAGAATTGTTTTCAAAAAATAAAAAAAAAACAGCAGTGATCAAATACCACCAAAAGTAAGCTCTATTTGTGTGAAAAAAATGATATAAATTTGGTTTGGGTACAATGTTGAATAACTATGCAATTGCCAGTTAACAACTTCAATACCGGGTACCCACTTCCTGCCTAGGCCAATTTTCAGCTTTCAGCACTCTCACACGTTGACAATTGAGCGGTCATGCAACACTGTACCCAAACTAAATTGTTATAATTTTGTTCACACAACTAGAGCTTTCTTTTGCTGGTATTTAACCACCACTGGGGATTTTATTTTTTTTTTGCTAAATTGATGAAAAAAGACTGAAAATTTTGAAAAAAAAACATGTTTTTCCTTGTTTCTGTTATAGAATTTTGCAAATAAATATTTGTTCTTCATACATTTAAGGCCAAGATATATTCTACTACATGTCTTTGGTGAAAATACCCCATATCAGTATTTATTATTTAATCTGTAGGAAAGTTATAGAGTTCACAAACTATGATATATACAGTATGATTGGAACACCTGAATCCAATAATTTGGAGGGGCGCCCCAATACTTTTGGCAATATAGTGTATATTTGAAAATCGATCAGTCCTGAAGTACTGACAGATAATCTAATTTCTTGAGGCCCAAAAATGCCAGAATACTACAGATATCCCCCAAAGTTGACAGTCAGAGGTATTTAGTAAGAGGCATGGCAAATTTTCTGAAGTTCTAATTTTTTTGTCATAATTTTTTGGAAAATCCAATTTTTTTTCTTTAACATACTGTCACCAGTGCAGTACAGCATCATCATGTAACTAATGTAGCAGTGATTAGGGACACTGACTGGTGACAGTGCAAAAGATATATATATATATATATATATATATATATAATAATTTTTTTAAATTACATTTTTTTTCTTTTTTTTTTAAGATTTTTTTTTTCATAATACACTGTGACCAGAGTAGCATAATGTTACCATAGTAACATTGTACTACTTTGGGGAAGTAATCAATATTTTTTTTACACTTTATGATTGCTTATAGCAAAGTATTTCTATGCTATTAGCAAGCATTTAAAGGATAAGTTCACCTTTTTGACAAAAGTAATAAATGCACTTTTTTGCAGGTAAAAAAAGTGTGCATTTATTATTTTTGTCTGCAGGAGCCTGGAAAGCATTCCTCCATCAATCAGTAGATTGCTGGCACCATACAGGTCTCCTGCAGACCTGTCAGAATATCTGCTTGCTGTACGGGACGTATGGGCAAGCAGATATTCTGACCGGAAGCTTCAATGAACTACCACAACGCTCCACAACTCCGTGGTAGTTCATTGAAAACTACAAGCTGACAGCCACCAAGGCTGCCGGGACTTGTAGGCACTCATTCACAGAACTCTGTGAATGAGTGAAGCAGCCATGTGGGCGGAGCCCTGCACGGTCGCGCTATTTTCAAAATTGACAGATAGTGCGGGGAAACTTTTCCCTATACTATCTGTTAGAGGGAGGGGGGAAGCAACGGTTGTGGCTGCAGCTATGGGAACATGTTACATGTTCCACCCTAAAAACGGATGGAACTTGTAACATGTTGCCAAAGGTGAACTTATCCTTCAACTGAAAGAAATCGATTCATTCAGGATTTTTAGGTGTGATTATTGTGTTTGGCCACGGCTTATCACATGACACCGATGGGCTGTGATTGGCCCAGTCTGTACATGTGATCACTGTGACTAATCACAGCTAGTGACACAATTGTACACAATGATTGGTCACAGCAGGTCACATGGTACTGGCAACGCCTGTACACAGATCTGTCATTGGCTGTGTCTAAAGTACACAGCTGGTGACAAATCTTGCCACAGCACGGCGCGATCTGGGAAGGACATCATATGACGCTCACCTGGATCGACAAGAGTCCCGCTTGGCCATCATTCTGCTATTGGCTGGACAGGAACAGGTTAATGTAGCACACTGCTAAATAGCAAAAATGGTCTGGTCATGAAAGGGTAAAATCTTCCGGAGCTTAAAGCAGAACTCCAGTTAAAATTCTTTTTTTTTTTTATCATGCAGTGAGTTTGTGCCTAGGGGTGAGGACTAAGCTCATACCCACCTGATCTGCCAATTTTATAGAAAACTGCGCTTCTCCACGGCCCAGCATTGGATTGTTCCTGTCTGTGGAGCATGCATTGAACGTGATGACGTCAGGAACAGTCCATTTACAAGACCACTGGACCGTGGGAAGGGCATGAGCCAAAAGGACGAGTCTTGTGTGGGGAGAATCGGCAGGTCAAGTATATCTTTGTGTCCTCTCCTCTAGAACAAAACAAGCATTTTACCCGTGCACTGCCCGCACAGCCCCACAAAAAAAACGTTCCCCCAGATTTCTGCTTTAAGTGGTTAAGCAAAACTGAAAATTAAAAGAAAAAAAAAAAGATTAAGTTTTCAAATAATAATGTGAACGTGTTATATCTTTTATAAGTATTTAGTGATTGGTGGGTTTACATAAATATACAGTACAGCATCCCAGGGGGTCAACACACAGGCTGTCATCTCTTTGTATCCTCTAGGTGGCACTGCATCAAGCTGGGTATTGTCACGTGACAGGCAAGGATTTCAGCACGGCCATGTTGGACGATGGCAGCTGCATGTGCTGTATGGAGGAGTGTGCAGGATCTGGCACAGGAGGTCCGGGGTGAGTACTAAGCCCTGCATGTGACAGGGGACATAGGAGGGGACACAGGGCTGCTGTGTGTGAGGACCCCTCACTGCTCTATGGATGAGGTCTGTCAGTGATCACATTCTGGTAAAGCAGACCTTCACACTAAGGCTGGGATCACGTGTGTGTGTAGGGCTGTGGATAAGGGGGTACCACCATTCCTCCTGTACGGGGCCCAGGCAGTTAGGTGAATTGGATGTGGGCAGGGAGGGTGATCAGCACAGTGGGGGAGGGGCAGTTATTGGAACCAATCCCTTCTATGGCTCTTTCTGCAGCAGCTTAAAGCTGGCTTCACCTTTCCCTCCCGCTGGCTTTCAGCTGTTGTAGAGAGAGCCATACAGGGGATTGGTTCCAGTAATTACCCCTCTATTGCACCCATCTCCCACCCTGTGCACCATACGTTCCCCCCTGCTGCCCAAGCCCCCCTGTATGTCCCAACCCCCACAGTGCTGCCGGCTTCCCTCTTCCCACCGGCAGCTGCAAGCACACAATAGGATCCCTCAGGATGGAGAGTGTGGGAAGGGTCTGGTAAATATGTCACATTTACCAGCCCTTGCTTTCCTAAATGAACACAATGAGTGATTGGTACAAATCACTCACTGTGTTCATTCATAATTGAAGCAAAGTAAACAAAGTTTTATTTTTTTTAGGGTGTGGGGGCTCTGTCAGGTTGGCAGTATGGGGCCTCGTGGTTTCTAACAATCAGCCCTGTGTGTGTGTTTTTCTGCTTGTTGCGTATAGGGGAGCCCATGCACATGAATACACTGCCCTATGTGCCGCAAATACCCAAAAACCATTTTCAGAGCGGAGCATATTTTTGCACTCTGCGTTTGTAGCTCAAGAAAATTTGCAGCAAACGTGCGCCTGTTACTCCTACTTGGCAGCCATTAATGGTTAATGACATCACAAGCATGACACTTGTCTGCAATGCATTTTTGAAACTTGCAATAAAAATGTGCATTTCAGGTGCCCTTTGTTACCTGTTCCAAAAATGCCAAGTGTGAATGGAGCCTAACTGTAAAGTTGCTTCCCCAACTTTTCTTTTTTTTTTTTTTTTACTTACACACTTTAGTAAAAGCAAAGCAGCACTTGTGTTCTTCTCACCTAGGTGAGACTCAAATCTCGAGTGAGCTCTGCAGAACATCTGCACATACGCTGTGGATACCCGCTATCTGCGTATGTGCTTGGGATACCCGCTGTCTGCGTATGCGCTGGGGATACCCATTGTATGCGCTGGGGATACCCGCTGTCTGCGTATGCGCTGGGGATACCCATTGCATGCGCTGGGGATACCCGTTATCTGTGCATGCGCTGGGGATACCCGTTATCTGTGCATGCGCTGGGGATACCCGTTATCTGTGCATGCGCTGGGGATACCCGTTATCTGTGCATGCGCTGGGGATACCCGTTATCTGTGCATGCGCTGGGGATACCCGTTGTATGCGCTGGGGATACCCGTTATCTGTGCATGCGCTGGGGATACCCGTTATCTGTGCATGCGCTGGGGATACCCGTTATCTGTGCATGCGCTGGGGATACCCGTTGTATGCGCTGGGGATACCCGTTATCTGTGCATGCGCTGGGGATACTCGTTATCTGTGCATGCGCTGGGTATACTCGTTATCTGTGCATGCGCTGGGTATACTCGTTATCTGTGCATGCGCCGGGGATACCCGTTATCTGTGCATGCGCCGGGGATACCCGTTATCTGTGCATGCGCTGGGGATACCTGTTGTATGCTCTGGGGATACCCGTTATCTGTGCATGCGCTGGGGATACAAGTTGTATGCTATGGGGATACCCGTTATCTGCGAATGCACTGGGGATACCCACTATCTGCGCCTGCGCTGGGGATGCCCGCTGTCTGCGCCTGCGCTGGGGATACCCGCCGTCTGCGTATGCATGGGTTTTGCTGCACACACACTAATGGAAAAGCTGGAGACCCACCTGTTGTTCATGCATGGCATTTCCATGGCATGTGCACAGATACACTGATGGGCTCTGCCAGGACCCAAAGGCTGGGCAGAGCCCGTGGGCGCATGTGCCAAATGGCGGTGTGCAGGGGTAGGTGGCGCCACTTAACAGTTTGGACTGAAGATCTGATTTAATCTGTCTGTGTTTAGAGTTGGTCATCTGGAACTAGCCGCAGGTAATCTCTGGATGAGGGGATACATAACAAGAGTGGAGGACATTGCCAACCACGTGTAATCCCAGCCACAGGAATTTCCTGCCCGAACCCAAATCCCCGTATGAATGAGGCTTTATGGGATCATCCACTTCAATAAAACGATCGATTTCTTTTCTGATCACCTCCTCTGATTGTAGTCAACAACTTATTCAATCAGTATCCACACACAGGGAAGTTGATTTTGATCAATCATTGGACATGTTCTCAATTACATCTGTTTCCACCATGTAATTTCACAGTTTATCATTCAACATACATTCAGACTCCATGCACACGGGAAGCTTTAATAATGCTGGAAATGTTAGCTGTGTAAAGTCACATTAAAAAACGTGAGTTTTTTTCTGCATTTTTTAGCGGTTTTGCATTAGCGTTTAGCTTTCGCGTTTGCGCTTTCTTAATATACAAAAAAGTCCAAAAACGTTGGTTTGCCACGTTTTACTGCATTTTTCAGCTAAAAAACTCCTCTAGAAACCCACTTGTTCTGGGGTTTTTTTCCAGCAAAAAAACGCCCCTGCCAAAAAACATTGATTACAGTCTTAAGTGTGCATGAACACATAGGATAACATGAGAGTATAAAAAATACAGTGAGAACTCCAATGGTCAGCAGCTGAACATTCAAGGAAAACACATAAAAGTCTCAAAAAATATATATATATATAAAGAAAATGCAGCGCTGTGTGATGTTACTATATTGCGGGCAGATAAAGATAATAAATGAAACCAAAGCAAATGAATAAATGAATAAATAAATCAAATAAATAAAACACAGTCCAGTAATGGTGCTCGCTGATTCCCAGTGCAAATGTTAGAAATGCGCACTTACCAGAAACGTATTGATAATACGCATGTGTATATGATATCATGGAGATTCCCCTCTCTTTTCTGGTCTGGTAATGGGCAGGAGCTGAATATAGTAGAGATGAAGTGCCCTCGTGTGGCAAAATGGAGGTCCAGCAGGTCACAGAAATCCTTACAGAAGTGTGTGAAGTGGAAAATTCCTCCTCTCAAAGGCTGGTGCAGGGATCAATCTGGGTCTGCAGAAGCTGAAAAGGCTCATCGCAGAAGACACAGGAAAGAACCCATAGTGTAGTAGGTTGATGAAAATGATTTTATTCAAGAAAAACAGGAGTGTTCAGAAAAAACTCACAATGGTGCCAGGTTTAATCAAATGACTGACCCTTTAAGATTAAGGATGGCCGCCGGGCCTCCACGTGGCACCGGCGGCGTGGTGTCAATGGCATCCTGGGCTCCACCTGACGTGTTTCGTGCGCACGCACTTCTTCAGAGGTAGAGCTGAGGATAACATGCTGGGGAGTTTACTGGCTGTAGAAAAAACCGCCAAATACAGCAGCTGTAAAATTGTCCAGTGTGCATGAGGACTCATAGTCATGCTGATGGATGCAAAACAATCAGTTCTCTGCCCTGAACAATTGATTCGGTTTGATAGAATCCAATCTAAATCGAGCCTAAATCAATTGGAAGGGATGGTATGCCTATTGATTCTTTGCCAATTCCATTGGTTTGATTGAATCGCATGTAAAAAAAAAAGCATGTTTGGCCACCATTAGGATACTTATACATGGCACTGATGTATGAACATCACATTTTATTTATTACAGGTATTTATACAGCGCCAACAATTTACACAGTGCTTTACATATACACTGTACTTTTACAGCAGTCCCTGCCATCAAGGAGCTTACAATCTAATGTCCTGGGGTCCTGGACAAAGGTGTGGAGGAATGTCAGGTCCCCGTACCTGCTGCCTGTTGGTCTCTGGGTGTGCGGCTTTCCTTTCTGTCCTTTCACGTCCCCTAGTTTCTTATCATATCAGATTTCTGGAAAAAGGCTGCATGCATGGGCTCAATATTTAATCATTTCTTAGTCTCAGGGTGTATTTTGGTGGTGGTAGGGGTCTGTTTTGCATAATTTAGTAGTTTGCGGATAATAAAACTGTGTTTTGTTGTATATAGTTCTATTTGTGTTATTTTAGGAAAAAAGACGTTTTTTTTCTCTGTTATCTGCTGATATAAGCTTGTTTCTTTTTGTGTATGTATGTACGTGTGTGTGTGTGTATGTATGTGTGTGTGTATGTGTGTATATATATATATATATATATATATATATATACACACACACACACATTTTAATTTTTGTATATATGTAAATTTTGGTTTTATTTACAAGCTGTATGTTTGCAAGATTAAAAAAAAAAAAAATTCCAAGGTCCCTATCTCATATTCATACAAACAGGTTTTATTCAAAAAGCAAACTTTATTAGATTAAATTTCAGCTTTAATTGTAGCACTCAGTCTGCCTACCCCCACAGTGATTTACTGTCAACAGTTGAATCTGTCAATCTCCCGGGAAGGACGATATCAATAAATCTGCTATTTTGTGCAAAGTTCTGATCTTTTGCGGGCTCTGAACATTTCAGATGCTTACTTGCCCAGTGGATCCAGCGTTGTCATGCAGAATTCTCTCAGAATTCTGGCCCTGCTCAGGCCCACACTTCTATCTTCTTGTATGAAGTCATCAGGAGGCCCTTCTGGGTTCAGCTGCGGGGCCCCATGATGGTGCGCTCCTAGGGCCCCCCCCCCCTCCTCCTTTCTTAGTGAAGGACTATGCCTCCTGGGATATGTGACATGCATAACCCAGGGGGCATAGAGGTCATAATGCATGTCTTTCACCCAGGCAAGTGACGTGCATGGCGAGGGGGGAAGCTGAACAGAACTCTTTACATTAACAAATAGGTGGAGAGGAAGCCATAAAAGAGGAGAATGTAATAAAGAACTTACACCCCAGTTGTTGCAGGAGGCTGACATCACTGGGTATTCTTGCCAAATCCTGGAAAGCTGAGGATACATCCATGAACAGTGTTGGGGAGTCTCGGATTTCCCAGGGTTTCCATTGTGAGGTCCAATGACATCTCTCCATTAGATGTTATTTAAAAAAAATTCTTCTTACATTTTTTTTTTATTGGCTTTTACTTTCTGCTTTTAATCAGGAAGTGGGTTGATCGCAGACAAGAGGACATTGCATTTTCATGCCAATCTGCAAAATGAGTGATGTGTGATATTACTTCCTATCCTCTTTAGAGCTCCATGGATCAGACGCTATCTCATACCTGGAGGATCCTCCAACACCGCTGCAGTTTCATCGGGATTGGCTGAATCCCAACAGACCATGTGTTATACGAAATGCCTTCAACCATTGGCCAGCCCTACACAAGTGGACATTCGATTACCTCCGGTACGGGAGCTGTAGCTCTGACGTGTTTCAGGTATAGGTGATGTTCTTGCATATTATATATGAGCAGATAATTTGTATGATATGGAAGGTGTGTTAGCAGGTTAGGTGAAATGATGAGAGGACTTCTTTGTGAAAAAGGCTTGGGAGTTAAGAAAATTAAAGTGAAGGTAAAGCCAAAACATTTGGGAGATTTGCCTTCACTTTCTGTTCCAGAGACACAACCAGAAGTAAGAGGAAATCCCCCCCAAACAGGGAATATCTCCTCTTAGACAGCTGTCACTGGAAATGGTGGGACTTCTTTCTAGGACAAGTCTTTGAACACTGAAAGATAACTAAGGTAATTAAAAACCTACCCTTGCAGTGCCCCTCCCCCCCCCCTTTTCTCTGCACTATAAGAGTTCAATTCTCTTTAATTCTAGGGGATGAGCAGTTGTAATACTTATCTTACTCCTTGCTCTGGAAGGCTCCCTCCAGTTGTATGATCAGTTCCCCGATGCCGCTTTTATGAGATGCTTCATCATCAAGTACAGTGCAGGACCAATAATTCTACATTGTACAGTGGATATCAAAAGTCTACACACCCCCTGTTAAAATGTCAGGTTTCTGTGATGTAAAAATTGAGATAAAGAAATAATTTCAGAACTTTTTCCATGTTTAATGTAACCTATAAACTGTACAACTCAGTTGAACAACAAACTGAAATCTTTTAGGTGGAGGGAAGTAAAAATAACAAACTAAAATAATATGGTTGCATAAGTGTGCACACCCTTAAACTAATACTTTGTTGAAGCGCCTTTTGATTTCATTACAGCACTCAGTTTTTTTGGGTATGAATCTATCAGCATGGCACATCTTGACTTGGCAATATTTGCCCACTCTTCCTTGCAAAAAAACTACAAATCTGTCAGATCGCAAGGGCATCCCCTGTGCACAGCCCTCTTCAGATTACCCCACAGATTTTCGATCAGATTCAGGTCTGGGCTCTGGCTGGGCCATGCCAAAATGTTAATCATCTTCTGGTGAAGCCATTCCTTTGTTGATTGGATGTATGCTTTGGGTCGTTGTGTTGCTGAAAGATGAAGTTTCTCTTCATGTTCAGCTTTCTTGCAGAAGCCTGAAGGTTTTGTGCCAATATTGACTGGTATTTGGAACTGTTCATAATTCCCTCTACCTTGACTAAGGCTCCAATTCCCGCTGAAGAAAAACAGCCCCAAAGCATGATGCTGCCACCACCATGCTTCACTGTGGGTACGGTGTTCTTTTGGTGATGCGCAGTGTTGTTTTTGGAACAAAAATATCTTTTGGAATTATGGCCAAAAAGTTCAACCTTGGTTTCATCAGACCATAACACATTTTCCCACATGCTTTTGGGAGACTTCAGATGTGTTTTTGCAAAATTTAGTCAGGCTTGGATGTTTTTCTTCGTAAGAAAAGGTTTCCATCTTGCCTCATAGACCAGACATATGAAGAATACGGGAGATTGTTGTCACATGTACCACACAGCCAGAACTTGCCAGATATTCCTAGAGCTCCTTTTAATGTTGCTGTAGGCCTCTTAGCAGCCTCCCAGACCAGTTTTCTTCTCATCTTTTCATCAATTTTGGAGGGACGTCCAGTTCTTGGTAATGTCACTGTTGCGCCATATTTTCTCCACTTGATGATGACTGTCTTCACTGTGTTCCATAGTATATCTAATGCTTTGGAAATTCTTTTGTACCCTTCTCCTGACTGATACATTTTAACAATGAGATCTCTCTGATGGTTTGGAAGCTCTCTGTGGGCTGTAGGATGCGAAGAAAATGTCAGGAAAGACCTACTAGAACAGCTGAACATTATTTGAGGTTAATCAGAGGCACTTTAAATGATGGCAGATGTGTACTGACTCCTATTTAACATGATTTTGATTGGGATTGCCTAATGCAGGCCATAGATGGGTCGAAAATCGGCCGTTTTTTCGGCCGAAAATAAAATCGGCCGATTTTCGGATCGTTAGTGGGCGATTTGGTCGGCCGTTTTTCGGTGTTTTGGCCGTTTTTTTTTTTTTTCGGTAAATTTGGAAAAAAATCGGCCGATTTTGCCGATCGGCCGATTTTCGCGGCAATAATGGGCAAATCGGCCGAGTTTTTTACCGATAAAAAAAAAATCTGCGCATGAGCAGTGACCTGCAAGAGGAAGACAAAAAGAAGAAAAAGAAGAGGATGAAGAGGAAGAAGTAGAAGAAGAGGATGATGATGATGATGAGGAGGAAGAAGAAGAAGTAGAAGAAGAGGAGGAGGAAGAAGAAGAAGAAGAGGAGGAAGAAGAAGAAGTAGAAGAAGAAGATGATGATGAAGAAGTAGAAGAAGAAGAGGACGATGATGATGAAGTAGAAGAAGAAGAGGATGATGATGAAGAAGTAGAAGAAGAAGAGGACGATGATGAAGAAGTAGAAGAAGAAGAGGACGATGATGAAGAAGTAGAAGAAGAAGAGGACGATGATGAAGAAGTAGAAGAAGAAGACGATGATGAAGAAGTAGAAGAAGAAGAGGACGATGATGAAGAAGTAGAAGAAGAAGAAGAGGACGATGATAAAGAGGAAGAAGAGGACGATGATGAAGAGGAAGAAGAGGACGATGATGAAGAGGATGATGATGAAGAGGAAGAAGAAGTAGAAGAGGATGAAGATGAGGAAGAAGTAGAAGAAGAAGAGGATGATGAAGAGGAAGAAGTAGAAGAAGAAGAGGATGATGAAGAGGAAGAAGTAGAAGAAGAAGAGGATGATGAAGAGGAAGAAGAAGAGGATGATGATGATGAAGAGGAAGAAGAAGAAGAGGATGAAGATGATGAAGAAGAAGAGGATGATGAAGAGGAAGAAGAAGAAGAGGAGGAGGAGGATGAAGTAGAAGAAGTAGAAGAAGAGGATGATGATGATGAAGAGGATGATGAGGAAGAAGAAGAGGATGATGAGGAAGAAGAAGAGGATGAAGAAGTAGAAGAAGAAGAGGATGAAGATGATGAAGAGGAAGAAGTAGAAGAGGAGGATGATGATGAAGAGGAAGAAGAAGAGGAAGAAGTAGAAGAGGATGAAGATGATGAAGAGGAAGAAGTAGTAGAAGAAGAAGAGGATGAAGATGATGAAGAAGAGGAAGAAGTAGAAGAGGATGATGATGACGAAGAGGATGATGATGAAGAGGAAGAAGTAGAAGAAGCGGATGATGATGAAGAAGAGGATGATGATGATGACGAAGAAGAGGAGGAGGATGATGATGAAGAAGAAGAAGAGGATGATGATGATGAAGAAGAAGAGGATGATGATGAAGCAGGAGAAGAAGAATAATTAAAAATTAGAGGAATTCCAGTACGCAAAAAGTGTCCCTGCAGAGAGCTCCGCTATTTCTTTGACAGTTCCTTGACATTTACAGCGGTTGCAACATTGTATCTATTTGTTTCCGAATGAAAACATCTGTATCCTAAATGGAAACAAATAGATACAATGTTGCAACCTCTGTAAATGTCAAGGAACTGTCAGAGAACTGTCAAAGAAATAGCGGAGCTCTCTGCAGGGACACTTTTTGCCGGCTTTAGACGAGATGAAAATCGGCCGATTTTTTTTTTTTTTTTTTTTTTTTTTTTTTTTTTTTTTTTTTTTTTTTTTTTTTTTTTTACCATTGATGGTAACGCCGGCCGCTTGAACGACCGATTTTTCGTTTTTTAAAAGAAAAATCTGCCGTTTTTCTCCCCATCTATGGGCTGCATAATTCTGAACACAGCTACATCCTCAGTTATAAGAGGGTGTGCACACTTATGCAACCACATTATTTTAGTATATTGATGTTTACTTCCCTCCACCTAAAAGATTTCAGTTTGTTTTTCAATTGAGTTGTACAGTTTATAGGTCACATTAAAGGTGGAAAAAGTTCTGAAATGATTTATCTTTGTCACTTTTTTTTTACATCACAGAAACCTGACATTTTAACAGGGGTCTGTAGACTTTTTATATCCACTGTATGTGAGATTGGAAAGGGACTGCCCCCAAGCCATGGTGAGTACCAGAGGGGGGAGTATGGCAAGTATTACACATTTTTCCTCTACCCCCTAGATTTGATAAGCATTTAATACTTATACTAGGTTTACACTACAGCTGTCTCTGAAAAGCAATCTGCGTTGGATCGATTTTTAAATGGCGGCTATGCAGCAACTTCCAGATGGCGATCTTGCCACCTCCTGAATGCCTGTTTTTTTTTTTTTTTTTTTTTGGGGGGGGGGGGGGGGGGTGCCAAACAGTGATTTCAAATGAAACGTGCTGTAACTGCAAGCCAGGCGTTTGGCTTGTAGTTTTGCTACAGCCTTTTTGATATGAAAAGGCAAGCTTGACAGGCAGCGTTGCCTGTCAACTCGACAAGCTGTGTGAATTGCGGCATTTGTGTACTGTGCCCTCCAGCTGTATGAAAGGTTTTAGCTGAGCAGCCAAGAGTTGGTAAAGCTGTGGCCTGACCACCTCTTTGTATTGCCCCAGGCCACCCATGCAAAAGAGGCCTTACAATGAGCGCAAGAATAGTTTTTAATAGAAATTTTTTTTTTTCTAGAGTTGAGCTTTAAAACTAAATTAAACCTGGTAATAAAATAATGTAGAAAATTGCCCCTAGGAGCTTTTTGCCACAATGTACCACAGCATATTGCCACACTATGGCTGACTTAGCTGCAATGCAATCCCCTACAGCGCTGCTGTTCATCGCTCCCAGTTGTCATGGGTGCTGCCATCTTCCAATGGGGTCTCTTCTGTCATAAAAATCCTACCTGTCAGCTATTGTTATTTTGTAGAGAGTTTATTTCCTGTTTAAAGCTGGACTCCAAACACATATCTAAATGCAGAAAATCTAGTAAGTGTTTGTTGTTTAACTTAACAGGTTTTGAGATTGTGTTCAGCCAGCCTTGTGATTCACACACCTCTTCATACTGCCAACCTGGATGAACATTCTCACATGATTTATTATCTAATGAGCAGGAAAGTGACTCAGCAATCTGTAGAGGTGAAATTACATACTCATATTGCTTGGTATGCAGTGTGTAGAAGTGTGGGAACTGTAAAACCAGATGGGCAGAAATACAAATCTTTTGGCAGATAAAACATGTCACATAAACAGTATATCTGTATTTGTCTATGAAACATATTTTCCTTCAAGGAATGGTCATGACTATTTCATATGGGGAGTACAGGGGCTGCCATTGGTAGTCTTCTGAAGAAAATTCTGGTTACTTGGTTGTGTCTGATCATAGATCTGAAAGAAGCATGCTTTAAATGAGCATCAGACTTAATTATCTCAAAACATGTCTAAGCATCAGCCTAACAGCCAGGGAGCTAACCTCAAAAAGAGTATTTTGGACATCGCAGTCTCCTTGATTTTCTTGTGACAGAGTCCCTGTAGCCACTTCAGCGGTTCAGGTTTGAGTAGTTATACCAGCATCATCCCAGTATATTTATTTAGAGCTTGAGATGTATTTTTTTGTAAAAGTGATCCTAGCGGCCAAATTAGTTGCTGGATTGCTTTTAAAGGTAGCAGAGTGTGGGTTCCCTTCCCCTCCCTCTGCCTTCCTGGGCGCTCCCATCCCACTTTGGAGCCTGGGACTACAGCTGGCGTCTGACCATAGAGATGATCGAAGACCAGAACATCCCCGATCATTTCTTTGGTCTAAAAAGCGGAAATGACAAGTATTTTGTTTCTTCTGGTTTAGAAGTCTGTACCCAAACCATTACTGGCTTGGGAAAGCATTGGCTCAAACTGGACTATGCTTTTAAGAGCAGAGGAGGGATCTGGGGTCTAATAGACCCCAAATCTCTCAGTAAAGAGTACCATGTTGTTCATCCCTTGTTATAGCAATAAAGTTGATAAAAAAAAATTAATAGTACAGTGTAAAAATGTAAAAAATAAATAATAAAATAGAAAAATAATTTTTAAAGCACCCCTGTCCCACAGTACTCACGTGCAAAGGTGAACTCGTGTCAGTTCTGCAACACATATGTAAACAGTGAATACACCACACATGTGAGGCATCACCATGAACGAGATCGAGAGCAATAATTCTAGCACATACCTTTGAAAAATTGCTGCAGAAATATCGCATGACATGAAAACTTGCAAGACCCACCATTTTATTCTCCAGGGCCTCTGCTTAAAGAATATATAATGTTTAGGAGTTGTTAGTCATTTTCTAGCAGAACATGCTGATTTTTATATATATATATATATGTGTGTGTGTGTATGTGTGTATATATATATATATATATATATATATATATATATATATATAATAAATGTGAGAAGTGTCAGAATAGGCATGGTCTTAAAGTGGTTATAGGAAATCTCTGCTGAGAGAAATATGGTGAATGCCATTGCTGACTTTGTGAAAATGCTAAATGCCTGGCTGCCTCTAAGCTCAATACTGTGCTTCACTGATCGCAAAACATATCTTTTCTGGGTCAGTGACTTTCCAAGTACTGAAGCACTTGGAGTAACAGCCAGGAAACTAACATTTTCAAAAGCAGAGTTCAGCCTTCATCTACTTTCAGTGCAGGTCCAGGTAACATAATATTGGGATTCATACATTTCTGTTTATTGCTGATTGACCCCCAGACACTGCTGAGGTATTTGTAGGTCATACAGCAGTCTCTAATGTGGTGAAAACCTTTCAGAGTGTAGCGTCTGTCACTCAACAGTCCAGTCCTGCTACTCAAACAGTACTGTGTTTGTAGACAATGAATCACTGAGGATAATCTGATGTTACTGTTATGAGTCAGAAGTTTTATTCTGTCTATGACAAGCAATTGATAAACAACCGGCAGCCATGCTAACCTCAGTCCTGACTTGCCACCGCATTAATATTCTACCCATGTTTCTATATACAGGACCTGTATAGGATCCAAGCATGTGAGTGTGGCCGTTACTCCTAATGGTTATGCTGATGCCGTATACAAGGATAAGTTTGTCATGCCGGAGGAGAGGTCCATGAAGCTGGCAGATGTTCTGGATATCATTGAGAAGAAAACCAGCAGCCCAGGAGTGTATTATATACAGAAACAGTGCTCCAATCTGACAGAGGAATTCCCAGAACTGACTGGAGATGTGGAGACTCATGTACCATGGATGAGTGAAGCTTTAGGTAAGTCCTAGTGATGGGACCACACGCACTATCTTTTCATGTTGGAAGAGATTTGCTTTGTGATGCCATTTACTGTATAACAGCTTAGGCTATAGTCACACCTGTGCATTCTTTAATGCATTTTCAGAATTGTAGGTATACATGACAAATGATTGAACATGCTTTGCTATGGTTCCCTTCTACATCATCTATGCAGTTTCCTGCAGTGCCTTTGTGGATTTTTGGGTCCATAGACTTCAATGGCACCTCATCAAAACACATGTATGTGTGTTTTTGGCAGGGTTTTGTGTTTAACCACAAGCCTACCGGGCACTTATACCCCCTTCCTGCCCAGGCCAATTTCCAGCTTTCAGCGCTGTTGCACTTTGAATGACAATTGCGCGGTCATGCAACACTGTACCCATATGACATTTTTATCATTTTTTTGTGACAGAGCTTTATTTTGGTGGTATTTAATCACCTCTGGGTTTTTTATTTTTTCTTAAACCAAAAACCACTGAAAATTTTGAAAAAAAAAAAAAACGTTTTTTTCTTAGTTTTTGTTATAAAATTTTGTAATTATGTGATTTTTCTCCTTCACTGATGTGCTCTAATGAGGCTGCACTGATGGGCACGGATAGGCTGCACTGATGGACACTGATAGCTGGCACTGATGGGCACTAATGAGGAGGCACTGGTAGGTGGCACTGATGGGCATTCACAGGCATCACTGATGGGCACTGAAAGGCAGCACTGATAGGCGGCACTGACTGGTACTGTTAGTTGGCACTGATAGGCGGCACTGTCTGGCACTGATAGGCGGCACTGTCTGGCACTGATAGGCGGCACTGTCTGGCACTGATAGGCGGCACTGTCTGGCACTGATAGGCGGCACTGTCTGGCACTGATAGGCGGCACTGTCTGGCACTGATAGGCGGCACTGTCTGGCAACACTGGTAGGTGGCACTGATGGGTGACACTGAAAGGCAGCTCAGATGGGCACTGATATGTGGCATTGATGGGCACTGATATGTGGCATTGATGGGCACTGATATGTGGCATTGATGGGCACTGATATGTGGCATTGATGGGCACTGGCAGGTGGCACTGATGAGCACTGAGAGCTGATGGACACTGACAGGTGGTGCTGCTGGGGCTACTCAGATCATCAGGGCACACTGATCATCAGTGCTCTGATGATCTGTGCACATGTCCCCTCTGAGGTATGCCGATTACCGGCTCTCCTCTCCTCACGAGCTGTCAGCGTGACAGCTCGTGGGGAGAGAAATGCTGATAACTGACATTTGCCTGTTTACATGTGATCAGCTGTGATTGGACACAGCTGATCACATGACCGAGCCGACATCTTCGGCTCTTTACGTGATCGGTGATCCGCTGTGTCCGAGGGACACAGCGCACCGCCGATCGCTGCGCTGCGAGCTTAGAATGGGAGGATGTCATATGACGGCCTCCCAGAACAAGAGAACTGCCTTGTGTCCGTCATTTTACTATATGGCGGGCGGGAGGCGGTTAACCACTTGCTGACCGCGCTGTGCCCTCCAGAGCATTTTGCCCCCTTCCTGACCTGGCCATTTATTTTTTGTGATACGGTGCTGCGTTACTTTAACAATTGTGTGGTCATGCAGTGCTGTACATAAATTAAATTTATGTCCTTTTTTTTCCCCCACAAATAGAGCTTTCTTTCAGTGGTATTTGATCACCGCGTTTTTAATTTTTTGCACTATAAACAAAAAAAGACCAATCATTTTGAAAAAAAATAACCCCCAATATTTTTGACTTTTTGCTATAAAACATCCAATAAAAAAATTTTAAAAATCAAATTTCGGCATAATACAAAGCAGCATGTCTTTCCCCTAATAAATGGAAATATCCTCCTGCGCTTAGTATGGGTAAGTCCCTATCCTAACAGCTGCTAACACTCTGCCTTAACCAATAAGTATTAAAGTATCAAAACCAAAAATAGTGAAGCGCTAAAATGAATCCCTAAATACACACATAGTGCATATAATATTAAGTGAAAACCATACCTCATAAATAAATTATATCCGTGACATAAAAAAATATCAATATAAAACAAAATATATAAGGAAAAACTTTTCCTTGCCCTTAAATTAATTCTTCAAATCAAACATTAATAAAAAATAAAAAATCCATAATATTGAGAATAAACAGTGATGAAAAAAAATATATATATAAAAAAAACTGTGTTAATTAACATATATATATTTGTGATTATTTCTAATATTAAATGTGACAACCTAACAGAATAAAAAATATAAAAAAATGTGAATCTCAATCAAATGTACGTGATTATTGTGAAAAAACCATATATTAAACTATTACATAAAAAAATCACTAAAACTTGTGATATTTCAAATATGAAAAAGTGTCCATAAATGAACAAACACAGTCCATGCAGTAAGGTGAAAACGACACTCAGTGTTCTTCACTTCTAGTGCTCATAAAAAAGAAAGGGAAGAAATCCTCCAATGGCAGCAATGCCTGCTCACCTCCCCAACTCGACCCGCAAAGGGCCACAAGGCTATAACTCTCCTCCAGAAAATCGTTTGCTTCCAAGCAGCTCAGTAAGGAATCACAGGACCTCCTCTCCACCTCCTCTCAAACGTCATATAGGACACAAACAGAGCTTCCCATAGTGTAATACCATTTGTTTATTTAAGACACTCCATATAACAAACTGTTTCCACTCACATGCGTTTGGTTAATAAAATGCAGTCCTCCTCATTCCCTGGGTGCATTCACATGTAAAGAGGGAAACCAATATGGTCGCTGTGCTCGGACATCCGTCCCCACGTGACCGGAAATGATGTGTCTCTGGGCTGGGAAAAGCGTGCCGACGCGTTGCGTCACGTGCGTCACGACGCACCCTGATGAAGTCACGACGCACGTGACGCAACGCGTCGGCACGCTTTTCCCAGCCCAGAGACACATCATTTCCGGTCACGTGGGGACGGATGTCCGAGCACAGCGACCATATTGGTTTCCCTCTTTACATGTGAATGCACCCAGGGAATGAGGAGGACTGCATTTTATTAACCAAACGCATGTGAGTGGAAACAGTTTGTTATATGGAGTGTCTTAAATAAACAAATGGTATTACACTATGGGAAGCTCTGTTTGTGTCCTATATGACGTTTGAGAGGAGGTGGAGAGGAGGTCCTGTGATTCCTTACTGAGCTGCTTGGAAGCAAACGATTTTCTGGAGGAGAGTTATAGCCTTGTGGCCCTTTGCGGGTCGAGTTGGGGAGGTGAGCAGGCATTGCTGCCATTGGAGGATTTCTTCCCTTTCTTTTTTATGAGCACTAGAAGTGAAGAACACTGAGTGTCGTTTTCACCTTACTGCATGGACTGTGTTTGTTCATTTATGGACACTTTTTCATATTTGAAATATCACAAGTTTTAGTGATTTTTTTATGTAATAGTTTAATATATGGTTTTTTCACAATAATCACGTACATTTGATTGAGATTCACATTTTTTTATATTTTTTATTCTGTTAGGTTGTCACATTTATTATTAGAAATAATCACAAATATATATATATATGTTAATTAACACAGTTTTTTATATATATATTTTTTTTCATCACTGTTTATTCTCAATATTATGGATTTTTTATTTTTTATTAATGTTTGATTTGAAGAATTAATTTAAGGGCAAGGAAAAGTTTTTCCTTATATATTTTGTTTTATATTGATATTTTTTTATGTCACGGATATAATTTATTTATGAGGTATGGTTTTCACTTAATATTATATGCACTATGTGTGTATTTAGGGATTCATTTTAGCGCTTCACTATTTTTGGTTTTGATGTCTTTCCCCTGTCTCTCCCCTGTCAGCTTTACAACAGATGCCGGCAGGAAATCTCTAGCATCCCTAGCCCCCAATGGTGGTGTGGGTAGGGTGGTGCGCGTGCCCCCTACCCAGAAATGCAATTTACGTATATATATTCGTGCTTTTGCCCAGCCCTGCCGCCTTGTAGCAATACATTTACTATAGGGCAGCAGGCATGCAGTTAAATACCACCAAAAGAAGGCTCTATTTGTGTGTGAGAAAAAAATTTCATATGGGTATAATGTTGCATGACTGCGCAGTTGTCATTCGTAGTGCGACAGCACTGAAAGCTAAAAATTGGCCACGACAGGAAGGTGGGTGCAAGTGCCCAGTATTAAACTGGTTAACAAGTGGTCTCCTACAAAAAAGAATGTGCGACGTGCAGTGCTTCTGGGATGGACAAGATTGATTTTGTTTGCTCAGTGCCATCACAGTGAATCTTTCTGCACTGAGAAGATGGAAAAGAGTTGGCATTTCAAATCCCTGAAAGGCTGGACCAGCTGTGGGGATGGTGACCACTCAGGATTGCCAGAGGTAAGTACAGTGGGGAGTGGGCAGGGTGTACAGTGTTAGTTCACAATGTTAGTTAACTTTTTTCTGTAAAGGTGAACTAACCCTTTAAAGTTAAATTGGGCTGTAGTAATGCTGTCTTTTTTCCATCATTAGGAAAGCGCCCAGATGCTGTTAATTTCTGGCTGGGAGAGTCTGCAGCAGTGACTTCATGTGAGTGGGGTAATTCCAATGTTATAGTTACAGTCAGGTAGGAAAATAAATACAGATATGTTTGTATTCGTGGCAGAAGAATTGCATTAATTGCTTACATTGAAAAATATATTGCCCAAACAGTGAAGTCTTATGTAATGCCATTAACTTAGGATGTTTTTAGATATTTTATAGTTTCAACATGGGTGTTGTAGAACAGCGGTTCTCAACCTGACCCCTTTGGGGGTCGAACGACACTTTCCCAGGGGTCGCCTAAGACCATCGGAAAACACATATTTCCGATGGCCTTAGGAACCGAGACACCGCTCCTTGATCCGTCTCCAGGTGTGGGCGGGATGACATGCCGTCCCTGTCATCTGGACACACCCCCGGGATCAATCCTTCCTCGCCGGTGATTGGCCGCCGGAACTGTAGCTCAAGAGAGGCACACAGGCGGCCAATCACCGGCGAGGAGGTGGAGCTTGGAAAGGAGGAGCCGAGCGGCACCGCGAAGCTCGAGCGAGTGAAGAGGAGGAGAGCGGCCGGAGAAGGAAGCCATCTGACCGGTAAGTGTTTGTACCATGGGAGAGGGAGGGAGCGAGCCAGCCCAGGCTGGAGCAGGGGGTCAGCAAGGTAAGTATCATTGGTGTCAGTGGGAGGAATAGTGCCCCATCATTGGTGTCACTATTACCAATGATGGGGCACTATTCCTCCCCCCACTGACACCAACGATGGGGCACTATTCCTCCCACTGACACCAACGATGGGGCACTATTCCTCCCACTGACACCAACGATGGGGCACTATTCCTCCCACTGACACCAACGATGGGGCACTATTCCTCCCACTGACACCAACGATGGGGCACTATTCCTCCCACTGACACCAACGATGGGGCACTATTCCTCCCACTGACACCAACGATGGGGCACTATTCCTCCCACTGACACCAACGATGGGGCACTATTGCTCCCCCTGACACCAACGATGGGGCACTATTGCTCCCCCTGACACCAACGATGGGGCACTATTGCTCCCCCTGACACCAACGATGGGGCACTATTGCTCCCCCTGACACCAACGATGGGGCACTATTGCTCCCCCTGACACCAACGATGGGGCACTATTGCTCCCCCTGACACCAACGATGGGGCACTATTGCTCCCCCTGACACCAACGATGGGGCACTATTGCTCCCCCTGACACCAACGATGGGGCACTATTGCTCCCCCTGACACCAACGATGGGGCACTATTGCTCCCCCTGACACCAACGATGGGGCACTATTGCTCCCCCTGACACCAACGATGGGGCACTATTGCTCCCCCTGACACCAACGATGGGGCACTATTGCTCCCCCTGACACCAACGATGGGGCACTATTGCTCCCCCTGACACCAACGATGGGGCACTATTGCTCCCCCCACTGACACCAACGATGGGGCACTATTGCTCCCCCCACTGACACCAACGATGGGGCACTATTGCTCCCCCCACTGACACCAACGATGGGGGCACTATTGCTCCCCCCACTGACACCAACGATGGGGGCACTATTGCTCCCCCCACTGACACCAACGATGGGGGCACTATTGCTCCCCCCACTGACACCAACGATGGGGGGCACTATTGCTCCCCCCACTGACACCAACGATGGGGGCACTATTGCTCCCCCCACTGACACCAACGATGGGGGCACTGTTGCTCCCCCCACTGACACCAACGATGGGGGCACTGTTGCTCCCCCCACTGACACCAACGATGGGGGCACTGTTGCTCCCCCCACTGACACCAACGATGGGGGCACTGTTGCTCCCCCCACTGACACCAACGATGGGGGCACTGTTGCTCCCCCCACTGACACCAACGATGGGGGCACTGTTGCTCCCCCCACTGACACCAACGATGGGGGCACTGTTGCTCCCCCCACTGACACCAACGATGGGGGCACTGTTGCTCCCCCCACTGACACCAACGATGGGGGCACTGTTGCTCCCCCCACTGACACCAACGATGGGGGCACTGTTGCTCCCCCCACTGACACCAACGATGGGGGCACTGTTGCTCCCCCCACTGACACCAACGATGGGGGCACTGTTGCTCCCCCCACTGACACCAACGATGGGGGCACTGTTGCTCCCCCCACTGACACCAACGATGGGGGCACTGTTGCTCCCCCCACTGACACCAACGATGGGGGCACTGTTGCTCCCCCCACTGACACCAACGATGGGGCACTATTCCTCCCCCTGCAAAATTACAGTTATGAAGTAGCAACAAAAATAATTTTATGGTTGGGGGTCACCACAACATGAGGAACTGTATTAAGGGGTCACGGCATTAGAAAGGTTGAGAACCACTGTTGTAGAAGGTGCCAATTTATGTAATGGAGCGGAGAAATCAGGATCTGGGTTTTTTTTTTTTTTTTTTTTTTTTTTTAAGTTTGGGTATAATGTTAACCTATGTGGGTCCATGTATGGCAAAGCCTTGGGTTCACTGACATGACAGCCCTATCAGCAGCACATACTCTCCTTTCTTGCATTTGGCCCTGGAAGTGAAGTGATGCATCCAGTACTATTGAGTATAAAGGCTATGAGACTCACTCCACTTCTTCCCACATGACAGCAGCGATGCTTGGCAATTGGCCATTCAGGCACTCGGTGCTTTCATATTGGGTCAAGGGGAGAGTCCTTAACCATTTGCCCTCCAGAGGATTTACCCCCCTTCCTGACCAGGCCATTTTTTGCGATAGGGCGCTGTGTTATTTTAACTGATTGCACCCAAATTAAATTTATGTCCATTTTTTCCCCACAAATAGAGCTTTCTTTTGCTGGTATTTGATCGCCTCGTTTTTATTTTTTGCGCTATAAACAAAAAAAGACCGCCAATTTTGAGAAAATAACAACATTTTTAACTTTTTGCTATAAAACATGTCCAGTAAAAGAATTTAAAAAATCAAATTTCGGCATAAATTTAGGCCAAAATGTATTCTGCTACATGTCTTTGCTAGAAAAAAAAAATCCCAATACGTGTAAATTAATTGGTTTACATGACAGTTATGGTATCTATAATTGCGGTATATATACTGGAATTTTTATTTTTTATATACTAGTTATGGCGGCAATCAGCGACTTATAGTGGGTCTGCGGCGGGCATCCTGTCACTGGGGGAAAACTGACTAACTGCCACTGACATTGCCAGTGACACTAATACAGTGATCGGTGCTAATAAAAATCACTGACACTGGGCAGGAAGGGTTAATCCTATGTAAGCCCCAAATTGTGCCATGGAGCTTACACATGGCTTCTTCTGTTCACTCCTGTGGATAAGGAGAGATGGGAAAGTGAAGAAAAAGTAAGTTTAGGTTACTGCAGGGGTTAGCTTTAAGGAGGAACTTTAAGGAAAACCAGGAAAAAAAGATTGGTTGATATGGATTGTAGCACAATGTTTCCTTTCCTCTAGTTTTCATAATCATTATAGGTATGCAGAATGTGTATAGAGCTTTAATGAGGGAGACAGGGAAGGATATCTTTGTTTTTATTAGCTAAATCAGCTGATATTTCTTTTTACAGTGCATAAAGACCACTACGAGAACCTGTATTGTGTCATTTCAGGAGAGAAGCACTTTATTCTTCACCCACCAACTGACCGACCTTTTATCCCATATGGTATGTCAAGTAAGAAATCTCTCTTCCAATAAAGACCAACAGATGTCTATTTGTGTATAATTGAAAATTCTCCACCAGACTGATTTTGTTTAATTCTGGATTGAGTGGAGAAGAGTCAGATTTACAGTCAGGTCCATAAATATTGGGACATCGACACAATTCTAACATTTTTGGCTCTATACACCACCACAATGGATTTGAAATGAAACAAACAAGATGTGCTTTAACTGCAGACTGTCAGCTTTAATTTGAGGGTATTTACATCCAAATCAGGTGAACGGTGTAGGAATTACAACAGTTTGCATATGTGCCTCCCACTTGTTAAGGAACCAAAAGTAATGGGACAGAATAATAATCATAAATCAAACTTTCACTTTTTAATATTTGGTTGCAAATCCTTTGCAGTCAATTACAGCCTGAAGTCTGGAACGCATAGACATCACCAGACGCTGGGTTTCATCCATGGTGATGCTCTGCCAGGCCTCTACTGCAACGGTCTTCAGTTCCTGCTTGTTCTTGGGGCATTTTCCCTTCAGTTTTGTCTTCAGCAAGTGAAATGCATGCTCAATCGGATTCAGGTCAGGTGATTGACTTGGCCATTGCATAACATTCCACTTCTTTCCCTTAAAAAACTCTTTGGTTGCTTTTGCAGTATGCTTTGGGTCATTGTCCATCTGCACTGTGATGCGGCGTCCAATGAGTTCTGAAGCATTTGGCTGAATATGAGCAGATAATATTGCCCGAAACACTTCAGAATTCATCCGGCTGCTTTTGTCAGCAGTCACATCATCAATAAATACAAGAGAACCAGTTCCATTGGCAGCCATACATGCCCACGCCATGACACTACCACCACCATGCTTCACTGATGAGGTGGTATGCTTAGGATCATGAGCAGTTCCTTTCCTGCTCCATACTCTTCTCTTCCCATCACTCTGGTACAAGCTGATCTCGGTCTCATCTGTCCATAGGATGTTGTTTCAGAACTGTGAAGGCTTTTTTACATGTCGTTTGGCAAACTCTAATCTGGCCTTCCTGTTTTTGAGGCTCACCAATGGTTTCCATCTTGTGGTGAACCCTCTGTATTCACTCTGGTGAAGTCTTCTCTTGATTGTTGACTTTGACACACATACACCTACCTCCTGGAGAGTGTTCTTGATCTGGCCAACTGTTGTGAAGGGTGTTTTCTTCACCAGGGAAAGAATTCTTCGGTCATCCACCACAGTTGTTTTCCGTAGTCTTCCGGGTCTTTTGGTGTTGCTGAGCTCACCGGTGCGTTCCTTCTTTTTAAGAATGTTCCAAACAGTTGTTTTGACCACGCCTAATGTTTTTGCTATCTCTTTGATGGGTTTTTTTGTTTTTTCAGCCTAATGATGGCTTGCTTCACTGATAGTGACAGCTCTTTGGATCTCATCTTGAGAGTTGACAGCAACAGATTCCAAATGCAAATAGCACACTTGAAATGAACTCTGGACCTTTTATCTGCTCATTGTAATTGGGATAATGAGGGAATAACACACACCAGGCCATGGAACAGCTGAGAAGCCAATTGTCCCATTACTTTTGGTCCCTTAACAAGTGGGAGGCACATATGCAAACTGTTGTAATTCCTACACCGTTCACCTGATTTGGATGTAAATACCCTCAAATTAAAGCTGACAGTCTGCAGTTAAAGCACATCTTGTTTGTTTCATTTCAAATCCATTGTGGTGGTGTATAGAGCCAAAAATGTTAGAATTGTGTCAATGTCCCAATATTTATGGACCTGACTGTATATTGTTGTCTGTGCCCCTGCTGGGAGCTTTCACTTCAGTTGGTCAGTGATTCCCTGACACATGGTGGAAGTGTTTTACTAAAGGGGAAGAGCTGTTAACTTTATAAAGCGAATGTTCACTCATTATGAAAGAGGAACGTCATTCCCCCCTTCCAGTTTTTTTTCTTCTCTCACCTTGTCTGCTGGGTTGTCTTAAAAATAAAAATTTCACAAAGCCATTGAATCCAGCATTGTTTTGTCCTTCATTGCAGCACAACTGGTCCTGCACTGATATATTTCTACTAATGTAGCATGTTCCTCCTGATTCTTGCAGCTGGCTCCCGATGATGAACCTCATGCTTAGTTTGGTAGGGAAGCTGCTAGGCGCATGCAGTGTAGTGGAGAGTGTCTGAAGCATTCTGAGATGCGTGACATCAATATCCCAGGAAGCTTTGAGCAGGGGACACCTTGCTCACCTAGACAAGAAAGCCAGAAGTACAGGGCCTGGGACCCACAAAAAAATTCCTTTCCCATTAAAAATGAAAAACAAAACAAAAAAGGTAATACCCTGTCATTTGAATCACCCAATCACGTTCTAGCAGCTATCTTTTTTTTCTTTTTCTTTCTTCCGCCGCACAGGATTGGATATTCAAATTCAATCAAGTTCACATTATTTACTTTCATAATTCAAAGTGAATGTACTTCTTTCAAAGTAAACATCCTCTACACCTCAGGTGAATTGGGATAGGAAGCGACCAGTTCCTTGTACTGTTGAAATGTTTTCAGTTGTTTCATTGAAAGTTTAAACTGTCTCTGCAATTTGTTTCAGAGTTATACCAGCCAGCAATATACCAGGTTAATGAAGATGGATCATTTGAGATAGTTGATCAGGAATCTGCAGAGAAGGTAACATGTTTATTTGTTTTCAAAATTGAAATAGCAAATATGGTTGATATCTCACTATATATATCAGAGACAGGTGAGTATAAGACTTGCAGTGGGCAGGAGCAGGTCATGGTACAATGTGAGTGGAGCAGTTACACTATATATATTATATAAATATCAAGCATAGGCGAGACTGGAACTATAAAGCAGATAGCACCAAGGTATAGGTAACAACTCCTTATGGATAACTATATAGAAAGTGCAGTGCTAAAATAAATGAATGATATTATAGTGAAAATAAAGTGCAATGTCAATCTGACATATAGCGGGGAAAAAAAAAAAGTGCCACACTTGCTGACATCACGCTGCCGTTGCCAAAGGTTGGAACAGCAGCCATCTTGCTATTTCTTCAAGGAGAGGGTCCACCTGCGTTTTTTGCCCTTGGCTGAACATCCCTTGCAGAGGCTTCATTGCTGTTACCTGTACCCAGATGAGATGTGATTACATGCTGTTTACCAGTAGATGTCTGGTGAGTGTACACCTGACAGAGGTGGTGGATTCCCTATTGGATCACTTCACAATATTTCTACGTGATTGCCGTACTTTTATCCTTACGGACAATTTATAGCTCTTACTCCACTGATATGTTATGGACTTTATATATTCTCACTTTTATGCTGCACTTTACTGTTTTACATTTATTGAATGATTTATTGAACCTTTTTTTATATTTGATTTTGATATGCTGCACTGTTTCGCTGATCAATTTTTTTTTTTTTTTTCCCGCTATATGTCAGAGATTGACTTTGCACTTTATTTTCACTATAATATTCACTAACTTAGCACTGCACTTTCTATATAGTTACACTTAGAGCTTGTTCACGTGTGGCAGAAATACCATACACCCGTACAGAGCCAAGCTTATCCTCACGGTGATGTACAGGTGTTCCATGCATCCTCATGCAGGCAGTTACATTGATGTCTATGTGGAGACAGCAGCTGCATGAATACAGCTGTCACGTCCCAATATGACATCTGAGTGGGTGTGAGTACATGTCACCAAACACACACTGGGGGAGTCAGGAAAAATGCCCCCACATGGATTTCATATTGGGACACTTTGGATATACAGGCACATCTGCTGTGTCCCAATAGACATCAATGAGACTACCTGCACAGGGATGCATGGAACACCTGTACATTCCCGTGTAGGTAAACACGGCCCTGCATGGGCGTTTGGTATTGTGCGCCCTGTGTGAATGACACCTAATTTTTAAAACTAAGTTGCTTGCCAATTTATTCTACTTTGATATTGAGGTCTAACTTTCCATTACTTTATGGATGAGTCCATTGAGTGCCGCTGATCAAGAAAAGTTTTCCAACTTGTCTGCTTGACCAAAGTCAATTTAATGTGGAATAGAGAGGTCTACACTGTGGAATAGAGAGGTCTACACAGTGATCGAAATTATGCTGGTCCCTGTTGAACCAGCTGAATTTTGATCCATCTATGGCTAGCTTTAATCTCACCATTAAAATTGCATTGAATTTTATAATGGTTAATGAGAAACTGGCGGCTATGCTGTTAGACACACACACAAAGTTTCTGCAGATCTGGTGCCACTGGCTTGATATAGCCCAACCGTCTAGATTTGACCAGACCCTTTTGCCGATATAGGATTTTGTTTCCGTCGCTGTCCCCTGGAGCCCATTTCTCTTTTTTTCTTTTTTTTTTTTTCTTTGTCTTTCTTTTCTTTGTCCCGCCCTTTCTTATCTTTGTTCTGTCTGTTTTAATCATATTTGTGCTGATTGTAACCCCCTTTTTTTTTTTAGAACATTACCAGCAATACTATATTTACTTGCTGGACTTCCTCGGGAGTCCTGAATGTGGAATACCAATGTGCATCCAGTGAGGCTTTGTGGTTTATTTTTCCTGCCTTCTGTATGCAGATTTTGTGATAATGTTTGATCTTTGTTTACTAATTTATTGGTCTCTAATTGTCTGCCATTTTTGCAAATTATTATGTTTTATCTTCTCTCTTCATATACTGTGCTTGTGTACTCAGTTTATTTCCTTGCCTATACTTCAGTGCATTTATTGTATTATTCATCAGAAAACTTGTATGCTTTATTTCTGTTGGTCAGTGATTTTCTTTCTGACTGTTTCTCTGATGTTGTCCACTCTACAATAAAATCCATTGTAAAAGAAAATTGCATTCCCCACATTAAGGTAAAATTGTTTAGCCACTTGCTGCAGCCCATCCCCCCTTCCCTCAAAACACTTTTCTGAGTCCTGTATTGATCCAGCGATGTGCGTGGCTGCAGTTCTTCTCCCCAGTCTTTCTCCTCTCACAGGATGTCCATGCAGCAGCGGGAGCCTTTTACTCCTGCTGCTGTCAGTCAAATCCTGTGTGCAGAGAGGTGGGGTGGTTTGAGTTGGGCTGTGTGTTTCTATAACCACACACATCTGCCTAAAGTTTATAACTGCATTGAATTAGTTAAAGGGTTACTTTTAGTAAAGTTAGTTAAAAATATTTTAAAATTAAAAATTATATTTGGTCTTTTTCAGGTGCCTTGGATTTCTGTTGATCCACTGGATCCAGATCTGAGTATGTACCCAGCATACGGTCAGACACAACCACTGCATGTCACCGTTAGGGCTGGAGAAATGCTGTATCTACCTTCTCTGTGGTTCCATCATGTGCGCCAATCCCATGGCTGCATTGCAGGTAAGCAGGAGGAGAGATTTTAAAGATCAAATGTAAAATTATGACAGGCCCCCTTCATTTCTTCAAGAGGTATATTAATGCCACAAAAACCACTGACTTTGGTGACTTTGAATACTGATTGTCCATTTTTGGGAGCCTGAATTGGTAGAGTTGAATTGGAACACTGTCATCACAGCCAAGTAATCCTGTATTTTGCCGAATATGTTTTATTTCCTATGATTGTCCACTTCATCAAGTGGCCATAATGTGGCATTTTCCTGAAATAACTCAATCAGGAAAATACTGCATTATGACCACCAGATGGAGCTGCTGATCTTAGGAGAAAAACTTTAGGCAAATATATTATTCGTGACAGCTTAGAGAATGTTGGAGACATTTTTTTTAATAATAGACCCCTTCCTGTACATTATCATTAACCAGCCAGCAGTACATTTACGCACATGCCCCCTGGGGCACACAGCAGCGCAATCCTGTGATGGACACAACAGATCGGCACCCAGCTGCTGTGAGCTGACAGGGGTATCGTGATTGCTATGACCAATCATAGCAATCACATGAAAACATGTAAGCAAAACTGTCATAAATGGATTCCATTCATGACAGCTTTCTTACTATTGTAATGCTGTGGTTGGCCCACAGCTATCACATGGTACCTGGGCCAATCACAGCACCCTGTACCATGTGATTATCTGTAGCCATTCATGACAGTCCAATGAAAGCCAATTATAAAAGCCATTCATGACAGTAAAAACGATTGCTTATAACAGTGGTCATCACTGTCATAAGCAGTCACCATGTAGAAAAAAATCCCTGATCACCCCCCAGAGTAGGAAACTACTGAACTACTCTGATAGTATGTGAAAATAAATGTTTTGAAAATTGAATAAAAAAATTCAGAAATTTTAAAATTTTTTTTTTTCTTTTTAAATACTGTCACCAGTCAGTATCCCGCCACACCAAGTCATATGATGACCATGTACTGCACTGGTGACAGTATGTAGAAAAAAAAATGTATTTCATTTCTTCAGACTGTAGTAGTAGACTATAACTTTCACACAGAATAAATAATATACATTGATTTGGGGTATTTTTACCAAAGAAATATAGCAGACTACATTTTGGCCTACATTTATGAAGAAAGATTATTTGTTTGCAAAATTTTATAATAGAAAATTGTGCTCTTTCAAAATTTTCAGTATTTATATAGCAAAAAATGTAATGTAGCACAGTGTTGAATAGCAAAAAAATGCCCTGGTTATGAAGGGGTATAACCTACCAGAGGTCAAGTGGTTTATGTTTATCTATGTCACTGTTTTTATTCTTATTCAATAGTGATGCAGTATTTTGGATGAAAATCTTGATAAAATAAGACTGAATATTCCATATATACAGTTGTGTTCAAAATAATAGCAGTGTGTTGAAAAAAGTGAATAAAGCTCAAAATCCTTCTAATAGCTTTTATTTCCATACACACAAATGCATTGGGAACACTACACATTCTATTCCAAATCAAAACATGAAGAAAAATATATCGTATTTGTGTTGTTCCTCTAAAAAAAAATTGAAGAAAAGTGAATATTAGACTGTTCAAAAAAATAGCAGTGTTTGTATTCTTCTTTACAAACTCAAACATTCACTATATAAACTGAAAAATGTTTGAAGATTTTGCTTTCCTTTGAATCACTTAATGAATATTTAGTTGTATAAGCACTGTTTCTGAGAACTGCTGTACATCTGTGTTGCATGGAGTCAACCAACTTCTGGCCCCTGTGAACAGGTATTCCAGCCCAGGATGATTGGACTACATTCCACAGTTCTTCTCTATTTCTTGGTTTTGCCTCAGAAACTGCATTTTTGATGTCACCCCACAAGTTTTCTATTGGATTAAGATCCGGGGATTGGGCTGGCCACTCCATAACATCAATCTTGTTGGTCTGGAACCAAGATGTTGCACGTTTACTGGTGTGTTTGGGGTCGTTGTCTTGTTAGAACACCCATTTCAAGGGCATTTCCTCTTCAGCATAAGGCAGCATGACCTCTTCAAGTATTCTGATGTATTCAAACTGATCCATGATTCCTGGTATGCGATAAAATAGGCCCAACACCGTAGTATGAGAAACATCCCCATATCATGATGCTTGCGCAACCATGCTTCACTGTCTTCACAGTGTACTGTGGCTTGAATTCAGTGTTTGGGGGGTCGTCTGACAAACTGTCTCCGGCCACTAGACCCAAAAAGAACAATCTTACTTTCATCAGTCCACAAAATGTTGCGCCATTTCTCTTTAGGCCAGTCAATGTGCTCTTTGGCAAATTATAACTTCTTCAGCACGTCTTTTTTTTCAACAGTGGGACTTTGCGGGGGCTTCTTGCAGATAGCTTGACTTCACATAGGCGTCTTCTAATTGTAACAGTACTCACAGGTAACTTTACACCTTCTTTGATCTTCCTGGAGTTGATTGTTGGCTGAGTCCTTGCCATTTTGGCTATTCTTCTATCCATTCGAATGGTACTTTTTCGCTTTCTTCCACGTCTTTCAGGTTTTGGTTGCCATTTTAAAGCATTTGCGATCATTTTAGCTGAGCAGCCTATCATTTTCTGCACTTCTTTATATGTTTTCCCCTCTCCAATCAACTTTTTAATCAAGGTATGCTGTTCTTCTGAACAATGTCTGGAGCGACCCATTTTCCTTAGAATGTCAGAGAGAAATGCACTGTAATCAGCATGTACATTTGCTGCCTTCCTTCCTTAAATAAGGGCAATAATTGCCACCTGTTTTTCAAAGAATGAATGACCTCACTTATAGAACTCCAACCTGCTATTATTTTGAACATGCCCCTTTCAATGAGTGATTCAATTACACAGATTCAACAGCATGCATGTCATGACTGTTGGGTCTGTTGGATTTCTATTAGTCTACTACACCTGCTAGTAAATTATTTGCCATGTAGAAATATCATTTCCACCAAAAACAGTGATTGATCAGGTTAGTGATGTCTGACTGCTATTATTTTGAACACAACTGTATGTATGTATATAGATATATTTATTTTATTCTTCCTTATTTTTTTGGGTGGGGGGGGGGGGGGGGGGTAATGTCTACAAATGTTAAATTCCTCTTCTTAAATTTGACTGGAGCTGCTTACCCTTTCCACCCCTCCCTTCTTTTCCCCCTCCCTGTTACTCCATTTTAACCTTCCTGTATAGAGTGGCTAATAATCATCACTTTAAAACTGTGTCAGGACTACTTGACTGTCCTTACTATGCTGCATTATGTCTTTGGCAGCTGTCTGCAGTCAAGTAAGGAACAAATACTGTGTGGTTTGGGTGCAGAATAATCTTTATATAAAATGTGCTCATTACTAATAGAGTGTAGTCTAGTTAGGACACTGGCAGCTAGCTTTGTAAACCTTGAGTCCATGGATGTCAACACTTCCAGTCCACATCATAACCCCTTCCATTCCTCCTGTCACTGGGCATATGGTGTAAACCCTTAACGGCAGCTATGATGACATTGCCAGAGGTCTGATTTACCCTGAAAAGGTGAGTTTTCCTCCCTCTTAGGCTGTGTTCACATTGTTGTGTTGCAGTAACACAGGAAGGTGTGTATTGGTGTGCTGCAGTGACATTCATTCTTGAAGTGGATGTAAAGGCAGAAGGTTCTTTACCCTTATACATTCTCTGCATTAAGGTAAAAAAAACTTCTTCATGCAGCTTTTCCCCAGCCCCCCTTTATACTTACCTGAACCAGTGATGTGCACAAGAGCAGAGGCACTCTTGGCTCTCTCCCTCCTCATTGGCTGAGACACAGCAGCAAGGCCATTTACTCTCTGCTGTCAATCACAGTTAGTGAGGACTGTTTTGCGCTACCATGCACTCCTTTTTGGTGCATTGGGCAGTCTATTAACTAGTTGCCGACCGCAGATAGCCGAATGACGGCTACACTGCGACCGGCCAGTTCTGGGTGGACGTCATATGACATCCTCCCAGAACGCACTATCCGGCGATCTCCGTGATCGCTGTGTCCTACGGACACAGTTGATCACGTGATGTGGTAAAAGGCCAATCACAGTGGCCTTTTACCACGTGATCAGCCGTGTCAAATGACTCACTGATCACAGGGAAATGCAATTGCCGGTTCTCGGCTGCACTTTCCTTACACTGTCAGAACGTGAGGAAAGTACTGCCGAGAACCGGCAGTTGTCAGAGCAGGGATCGGCACCGATCATCTGGGCACTGATGATCAGTGCCCTGATGATCGGTGCCCAGCAGTGCCACCCCTCAGTTCCGCCCACCTGTGTCCAGCAGTGCCACCCACCTGTGTCCGGCAGTGCCGCCCACAAGTGCCCAGCAGTGCCACCCGCCTGTGCCCAGCAGTGCCTAGTAGTGCCACACACCTGTGCCCAGCAGTGTCATCCACCTGTGCCCAGCAGTGCCTAGTAGTGCCGCCCACCTGTGCCCAGCAGTGCCGCCCACCTGTGCCCAGCAGTGCCGCCCACCTGTGCCCAGCAGTGCCGCCCACCTGTGCCCAGCAGTGCCGCCCACCTGTGCCCAGCAGTGCCACCCACCAGTGCCCAGCAGTGCTGCCAGTTAGTTTCACCAGTCAGTGCCCTGCGGTTGTGCCAGTCAATGCCTAGCAGTGCCGCCAGTCAGTGCCCAGTAGTGATGCCAGTCAGTGCCACCTATCAGTGCTGTCTATCAGTACCCATCATCAGTGCCGCCTATCAGTGCCCTTCTGTGCTGCCTATCAGTGCCGCCTATGAGTGCCCATCAGTGCTGCCTCATCAACGCACATCAGTGAAGGAGAAAAATTACCTGTTTTCAACATTTTATAATAGAAACAAAGAAACTTTTTTTTTTTTTTCAATTTTTTTGCAAAAAGTAAAACACCCAGCGGCGATTAAATTCCACCAAAAGAAAGCTCTATTTGTGAGAAAAAAATGATAAAAAATGTCACACAATTGTCAATCAAAGTGTGACAGTGCTGAAAGCTGAAAATTGGCCTGTGGTTAAAAAAAAACGG